GTATCACGTATTTTAAGAGCATAAAAAGTAACACGTCATTTTGTCGTGCGATTATACAATCCAATTACATCGCGTGTTGCAATAGAGTTTACGCAAACAGGTCCTTCGCGGGTGGTCTTTTCCAATTAGCACAACTGGAATATTCAAAACAAACGCTTTCGCGCATTTTCGTCATTTTCGTAACACACGTAAAATGGCATTAAGCCGGATTAAAGATAAATGCAAGGACTACTAATGCGTGTCTCATTTCGTCGTTAGCTGCGGCGACAGGGGATAAGGCAACTTCCGCGCGCGCGCGCGTCGGTTAATCATAATTCAAACATTCTCGTTATCTTAGCGAGAGCGAGGCGTCAAGCTGCGCTAAGAGTCATTATCGTGCCAAGGTCAGCACGGTGGGGATCGCAACGTCGGACTAATCAGCAGACTGGAAAGATTCCGCGTTATCGCGCGGGTGAAGATCGCGTCGCGATTCGCGTTATCGTGACGGCTACGCATCTTCGCATTTCCGTTATCGAGAGCGCGGACGACATACGCCAAGTGCATGGCATGATGATTCGCGTCATTCGACTCGAGGTTCGCTCGATAAGCCTCGTGTTTGATAACAAATCCCATTCCACACGTTACGCTGTCCATCAAAGAGAACCTCGTTCCGTCGGGAAAATTTGTTGCAGTTAACGAGAGTGCACAATGGCGGCATCCGATCTATAAATATTTTAATCAGTAATCAATACTGATGATAAATATATGTGGTCACACCGGAAGTGGGTAGATAGTCTCGGGTGACCGAGCATGACTTCTGATTTCGGGTTTGGAGTTTCTTGATTGTCGATTAGGTATCGTGTTATCGAGGGCTTATCGTTTTAGAAAGGAAAATATTCCTACGAAACGATCGATATCATCAGCGAGTCACCGGAGTAGGCGCTTTTTTGTTGTCACTCCATGCCAATAGTCTTCGGTAATTATACGTATTTTTCGCTTAATCATGTTGGAACGTGAAATTGTAAAATGTCTCTAAAGGATTCTCGTAATGTGCTGTATTAATTAGTGTCTGCGTTGTTAAGACTGCCAAGAAGAAAAACGGAGACGTAGAGGATCGTGATCGGAATGTGGTTTGTGACAATGTTGTTTCGAACGTAGAACGACGTATTTGAATGTGAAAAGATTGTTTGATAAATATATAAAACGTATCACAGAATGTTTCCATTTATCATGTCGTCTATTTATTATCCTATAGAAAATAACAGATATTTAAAACTGTAATTCATAAAAGAAAGTGATACGATTATCACGATGGGATTATCGCGCGTATTACGGTATAATTTTCGTGTCAATTTCACTCGAATTTCACGTTAATTACAGTCGTTAATTACGGTTGTTAATTGTGGAAGAACTAATTACACGTTGTGTATTATGCAAGAATATGACATTAATATTGACATTAATAATAGGAACGTCAAAAGTATAAAACGTATTTTATTAAAACTCTATTTCGACTTCAGAGGCGCGAGTTCGGTTACTTGGTGTATTTCACATTTTTCATCTTTTATAAAATACTCCCAGGTGTTACCAGACGTTAGGAAACGATACGGTCTTATTAAAATGCAGGTACTGCTATTAATAAAATTTTTATGCGGCTAGACATGCGACCGGTTCGTGCAACCCGCGAGGTCGGTAAGTCTTAAAGGAGAACGAGCGATATCGCGGTATAAACCCGCCGATCGATACGCAGGCATGTCGGCCGATGAACTGGCGCTTGTGTCCGATCGAGAGAGAGAGAGAGAAAAGTTTAACTGTCCGCGATGAGCGATCTCTGTGTGCAAAGTAAAAATAAGACACGAGCGTAAATTAATCCTTCCGGTTGAACGAAATTCCATCAAACGAAAAGCGAGGGCGATCCGTTGAGCTTTTGTTCCTCATATTCTCTCCTAATCTCAACGATAAGTGTAACGACAGATTACACTTATCGTTCAGATTAATAGAACTTGGGGACTCGGCTACAGTTTCCTTCAGCGGCGTACAGCAAGATAGTCTTCTCGCGCGAAAGTAGATTAGTAGACGGTTCGCCCGGTCATATTGAGCGACACCGGGAGCGACGCCTCGTTTTCGTAAATTTTTTTTTGTAGGACGAAAATAAATTATTCCCCATTGCGCACTTCTTTGCCCTTTGTTCTATCATAATAATTAAAAGTTTCGATGTAGGTCTATTCGTGATGACAAAGGCGAACTACGCGAAGAATACCCGGAATACCGTGACAGCTTCAAGTAAAAATATCGCGGAACGGGAACAATTTATGAGTCAGAGGAAATTACTTGAATACATACTCTTTTGCAGTTACGACTCATCGGTATAGTGATAATTTGCGTACATTAAGGAGAGCGCTTTCATTTAAATTGGGAATTTAGTACAAAAATTATAATACAATTGTTATTAGAATTTCCTCGTGTTAGTACAAATACCGCAATATGACATTTCACACCGACATGCAGAATTCTTCTATAGATTTTCCTTATCCTTGTCGGCACTATCGATTTTTTAAGAGCGGTATATCGAAGTGTGGGAGGTCTTACGAACGTAAATGTCAGACTTTATCTACGGGGTCACGAGTACCTACCGAAATCGTTGGATAAAAAAAGTTTCTTTATCGAAATGAAAAGACTTTATTATTACAGCGAATCTTCGAACTTTTATTTTATATGTATATATATGTATATATATATGTATATATGTAAATATATAGATATATATCCGTAACAGTAAATTAATATTTCCTCCGAGTTTCCTGTGTTCCCGATACTCCTGCCTCCTTCATTTCGGATTCTGTGCGTATCTCGCTGGTTATTCATCTCCGGGATATATCGTAAAATATGCTCTATCGCGAGAATAAGGACAACGAGATACAGTATTCGTTCTTGCGGCCTTTCCTTAACACTCGCAGAAATTAACTCGAGGATCCTTCGAAATCCACGCTCCCTATACGCTCCGAGCTTATTTCGGGAGCCTCGAGTATTTTTCTTTTACTTCTCTGAATCTTGCCGGTCCTTCGCGCGGCTTCGACGCGTCGCGGGAATAAGGGCGAACCCGGGATTTACCTACGTCGTCGAGAAGATCGATGAGGAACGTGCTCCCTCCACGCGCTGCGCCGCGCTCAGCTCGGCTCCGCTCCGTGCACCGGTCTACGCGCCGGGGAAAACGATGATCGTTCGCGGGATATTTTCTCGGAGACACCTGTTCTTTCTTTCTGCTGGACTGTCGTTGCCTCTGACAAAAAGCCGCTCGCACCGGCGACTGGCGACACCGAGAACGTGACGTGCGTTCTCTTGCAACCCCGCTGTAACTGGCGGATTTTCACTATGACGACCAGACAACCAGTGACGTAACTAGACAACTAGAGTAATAAGGGCGCAGGAGCGTTCGCCGCTCGATTGCACCCTTCCTCCTTCATCCTTACCTACCTATATACCCTAAATCTTTGTCCCATTTACGCGAACGATACGTGCAAGGTTGTTGTTGGTAACATAATTACGATTCATGTAAATTCTTGACTGTTATATATATATATTTCAGAGATATATTTTAGAGTCTTTTAATTTATAGTTGCTTTTCTTCAAAAAGCTCGCAAAGCTGATAACTTTTAAGGTGCTAACGATTAAAATAAGGAGTCTCACATTCTAAAGGGTAACATCCTTTTTCTTAATTTTCTTTTATAATTCTTGCAAAAGTTTTAAAAAATTGTCGTAGACGATTTCAGTCATTGATATTCCACGTCATTATCGCTTCGATCTATAGCGATTGAAACATAATAGGCATAAGAATATCACGTGTGAGTCCTATAACTAGGGTGTAATACAAAATGGACTTGCAAATAATTTTGACACCGATGAGATGTCTCAAAACATATATTTCGTTCATCTATTTCGTTCTGCTCGTTCTGCTGTTTGTAAATTGAGCGGAACGCGGAATCGTCATGGTGGGTTTTGAATGAAACAGCTGACGCCGGCGCGATCTGCGTACGCAGCGAATGATCATTGGCCGCTTTTGTACGACCATCGAAGTTGTCCACGAACATCAGCGTTTATGAAAACGTGGTGTTGTGTCATCAAACTCGTATCATTAATATCAGTTTCGTTGCGAAATTTCCGTTCCATTTTCGAATTGAATAATCAAATTGATTAATTTCGGAATTAGACAAATTAGGCAAAAAATATTGTGAAAAAGGATGTTTGACTTATTTTTTATGAGCAAAAAAGATTTAGGGATATTATGAAACAATTCGAGAAATTTTAGAGTCGAGTGATGCAAATGTTTGACGAACTCGAAGACGCGAAGGTTGAAACATCGAGAAATTATAAATTTCACAATTAAAGATTATATATAAATTTATCAAAAAATTTGTAATTACTATTAAATACACATATACATGTATATACACAAAATGCTTTTAACAAAAAAAAATGTTAAATGGAAGTAACTTAGTGCCTCTGGAGACCATCTGGAGAAGATTCCAAGAATGTGTTGATAACGATGAAGCAAATAAAGACAAATAAAAACTTTTTAAAGACAATTGTCTTTGTCTTAAATACATTTGTCTTTATCGTGTGTTATCATGATATCTTGTGTCATCAGTACTGTCTCTTCAAAAAGTTACTTCCACATAAGTATTATCATTTCTGAAGCACCCTTATAAAACAAAAAGTATAGAAAAATATAATATTATGGAATCGTAATAGAATTTGAGAATTTTGGAATTGAATCGTGCAAACGTTCGAGGATGCTCGAAGCCGAGGTTCGCAAAGATCCAAAAATTGAATCGTCAGGGATTAAAAAATCTGAATACCTCCGAGAGACGCGTTTAATATCGTTGCGTAAAAGGAGCAAGAATTTTCGCTCTTTAAATTCGCTTGTTCGAGTCATCAATAGATACGGCATTGCGCTCTTAATTGCAACGGCGCAGGCGTCGAAGAAGCTACCTTATCAACCGAGATGACATCCCAACGCAGGGTCTCGCCTTGGTCGCGTCCGAGGAGTCGTCGCGTGAAAATGCCGGGGAACACCTTGCGGCCGCACGATCGTCGCGTGTGATCGTTCCGCGTGTAAACCGTCGCGAGTATACGATCAGAGCAGTCCTGCAATCGGAGCACCTGTGTCGGCGATTCGGAAGCTCATTGGGAAATCGGTAAGTCGGCGATCGATTGGCGCGTTTCGACGAATGCGTATAAACGAGCGACAAATCGACTGCGTGCTTGGTGAACGGCAGGAAATTGTCGGCGAATTGCGAAACGGCGCGCGTGATCGTCGCTGTGAATCGTCGAGCAATTTGATGGCCTGTGTTCCGGTGATCGATGATGATGGACAGTAGCGTACGAAAGAATTAGACGAGGGAACGGGGGGGGGGGAAGAAGAGAGGCACACGCGAGAGAAACGTTTAGAGAGGATTTTTGATGTGAAATATGATATCTTACTCTCTATCAGAGAACCTTTCTCCTCCATGTGAGAACTTTAGCCCCACACACACACACACGTTACAGTTGCTATACATTTCTTTCCTTTGTATCAATCACCGTGATGCCCAGTAATATGACAGAACAAAAATATAATTACTGATAAATAAGATAACATCATTCTATTGTGTTCGCGGATAAAATTATCCGTTCGGTTTGAAAATGTTGTGACATTAGGGATCATAGATGTAAATAACTAAATACGCCTAAGATAATGTTAGGAATATTACGTTTTCTAAACAATTCGTACATTTAATAAAATTTCTTCTCTTCTTCTCAATTACTTGAAAATTTATTCATTCAAGTTATCTCGTGGAATTTTAGCACGTGGAATAGAATTTTAGATTGGTGAAATTGTACCTATTCACACACAAACTTAAGAAATGTAGTATTTACGAGAGAGAATATCATTAATTTAATATAATTAATTAAATATGATATAACTGATTTATGATGTGATTTATAATGGTATCTGTTTAAGGCAATAACTGATTTATGATGTGATTTATAATGGTATCTGTTTAAGGCAGTTCTAAAAGTTACTTCTAATTGTAAGTTAATATATTTCAATGCTGCTGTGTATATTTCAGACAATTAGTCACCACGAATTGTTCATATATTCATGGATTCACAGATACTTGACTTCATGCATTCAAAATCCATTGACCTTTGTATTTGCATATCCTTGAGATATAATCTTTAGATCTATAGTTTCATAATGGTTGCAATTTTAGCAAACTATGGATTTAGATTTCAGATCCGGAAATTGTTTATTCGACGATTCTAATTCCATAAAATTGATAAATTGTTTATTTTTATTCAAATCTAAAGACACTACATAGATAAAAGCACTTTCGAATAATTATTTGGAAAATATTTTGTCCTATACGATTAGTAAGTTATTAGATATGTATTATTTTATGTAGATAGATATTTTTAACTAAACATCTCATTTCTATCTTATTTTTCATTTGAGTAAACTTTATCAAATAATCTTATGCTCTTTTAATCGTATTACTAATTGTAAGTATAATGAAATAAAATTATCTCATAAGAATTTATTAAATACAATTTGCAATTATTATTAGATATCCATTAGGTCTGCCATGGAATTTTCTCTTTCGCTGTGGATAATCCCACATAGAAATTTTAAATTTATAAATCTTCGATTCTTAATCGCGATTAATTGCAGTTTTAATTTCGTTTTCGCAAATGCAAATTTAAATTCACTTATTATAACCGGAGGAGATAATTTATTACTTTTATCGCGCGTTTAATCTGCCCTATTATTATTTTGAAAACAAATGTTTTTCAATCGCACAATCGCGCTTTTCACTTTTCACACTCGAATTTGACATTTGCGATTAATATTCCACTTTACGGAAAATGTCACGCCCGTGGCGTCCAGTATAAATATCCATGCACTCGTGTCTCGTTATTATTTTACTCTCGTTACTGACGTTAACGACAGCGGAGGACATCGCACAATGTTGACGTCGCGTCGGTTGAATGAGAGCGAATTTCAAGTATCTCCTTTTCTCTCTTTAAGAGACGTCATGAATGACGTCAGACATTTGGAAAATCGATTAAATGTAGGCTCGCCCCAATTTTCGGGTGGAAAACTTAATAAAGCTTAATAGTGGAGAGAGGATAATGAGATTTACGACTTACATAGATAAAAAATAATAGGATTTCCTTATCTATCTATGTCTACATCATTGCGTTCATATTGGTCACTTCCTTTTTTTTCCAATTATAGAAATGTCCTATGTTTTAGTTCTATTTTAGTCCTAAATGTCTTATTTATTAAAAATAATGATGAAGAAATAGTTTTATATTGACTTGTCAGAAAAAGATATAAACTTTTGTTGACAGAACGCAGCCCAAAATGTTGAGAAAAAGCTAGCAGAAGCTGAGGAAAAACCGCTACTTTAATAACTTCAATTATTTCGGATGGTTTAATTACGCGATATCGCAAGCTTGTTGTTATATTCCGGTTAATGGATATGTATTATATATGACGCGACCTCGGAGATTCTGCGTGCCGAGCGATGTAATTAGGTTCACGCAGCTGAATGATGAACTATGATAAACCGCACACGTCCGCTATACTAATTATGGTCTGCAATAATTAGAAATTGAGACTCAAGGAGCGTGGTCGATTTATTTTCCAGCAGCATCTGTGTTTTCGTAACGAGAACTCTCTTAGCGGTTAATATAAATACGTGACGAACATAAATGCCGCAAAATGCCATAAACTTTCAGGATTTTGCACGTTGCGATAGAGAGAAAAATCTCGAGAAATTATTCGTCACCTTTGAATTCGTAACGGATTTGTAAGATGCTTAATTTCGCAGGACTTTGCCCCTATCGGCTTTTTTATTTCAAGAGCTTTTTTTCAATAATATAAAATTGTTAACCTAAAGCACTTGATTTTGTGTGCAATTCTCAGTTCTTTTATTTAATTCCGTAATTCCCTGGGTCTATAGGTGTTTGGAATTTTTATTTTATTTCCAGAGCTTTGTTCTCTAGCGGAACTTTCCGGCTCTCTGAATTCATTGTCTCGCAGACTTTTTTTTTAACGGTCTCTTGATTCTGCAAACTGCGGAATATATGTGATTTAACAAGTGGGCCTCGATTTAACGAATTTATTCCCATATGTAGTGAGATATTTTCTTATTTCTATGTCAGGTATTCGATTCAAATGATACCATCTTCTATTAAAAAATTAAGAAATATTTTTGTAAGAAGTACAATACGTAGATAAGTACTCGAGACAGTATTTTAGCTGTAAACGAACGAGAAACAGTAAATCGAGCTTCATAAATGTAAATATATAATAAAATCATATTTTAGAGTTAATTTTAAGCGGATCTTATACTATCTTGATAAGTAATGTTTTAGATTAGAGTAATCTTTAATTACATAATGATAATGACGATTTGTGGCGATCGTGGCGCATCGGAGAAATGTGCGCTGCTCTGATGAGTCGAAGATCCGAGTTCAAGTCCGACCGAAAATCGTTGGTTTTTATTCGATCGCCACATCTCGAAATCAGAAGGTATATAATGATAATCCACTGAGAGTATCTTGCCACGAGAATCCCTCTATATTTAGAGAGGGTACCGGCCCTCCAGGTTAGGGGTTGGAAGTTTAGGCTGACAACCTATTCGCAGAAAACAAATCTTGTCTCGAAACTTGAAAATTTGAGGAGACCCGAGTCCGACTTGGACTGTAGCTCCACTGGATATACATAAAATATTACGCAAATATCACATGTATATCGGAAATACGATTAGGTTAATACTATTCTGTGCGGTTTAATAAATAATCCATGTCTTATCATTCCATTTGTCTACTATTGTATCGTGTCTTTATAATGTACTAGAACACTACGATAGAAATATTAAATTGAAACATTTTTAATATGTAATTATACATATACGTGTTTATATATAATTTTAAAAAGTATGAAAAATTACGCAATTTTTTAATATATCATTTCTTTCTTATTTTTTTTTATAAAAAGAGAATAGTTCGGTCTTTTTACCAAATACGCACACTAAGATGCAGTCTATGTGTTCAATTCCAAGATAAAATAAAGTAAATGTAAAGGAGAAATTTCTTATACTAGTAATTGCAAGCATCCTCATTTACATACTAACAATACAAGCTTTTTGAGAATTCTAACAGCAAAGGAGATATTTAGATATTTTTCGAGCGATATGAAATCATGGCATGCACTTTGAACATTTATGCGCGTTTCGTTCGTCGGATGCGCACTTTTATTTACAAATGTCGCTACAACGAAATGTAGGAGGGGAGGGGAAAGGGGAGGATACATTGGGTTTAACTATTGAAAAGAATCTGGGCTAGGAAGTGAAGAAAAAAAGGAAGCGGAGGAGATTAACGAACATTAATGTCTTAATTAACTTTTACGAGATTAGAATCGAAACTCATTTGCGGCCCAGCAAATTAGTACGTAGATCTTTTATGCGCCGTACACATTTCGGCCGGATGTTGGGTCACACCGGGAGAGCGTGCCTATCCTCGGAGGGTGGAAAGGAAACTTCGACCCGCCCTTTTGAAATGTCAAAGGTTGCCGCGCAAGTCGCATCGACGTACTCCCGTTTCCCAGGAAGCAGCCCCTGGTGCGAATCTGGCGGCACTGTTTCCACTTGTACGCAGGATAATTCGCTGTCATCCCACGAGAAAGCAAACAAGTAGAAAAATAATATCTCGGATATCCGTTTAGGAAATATTAACGCGCGGACACGAGATCAATAATATGCTCCGAGCATTTATTCGGGACATATATTCATACATATTTATCAATAAAACAAATAAATAGTCCGTCGACGAGACGTCAACGGAACGGAAATCATACATAATTCACGATGGATTTCCATTCTGTTCGAAAATCAAGTTTATACGAAGTTTAATCGAATAAGAATCGTAAATCTCTTTCTCTCTGTATATGGGTCAATACTATAACAAATGCGCCCGGGGGACGGAACATTTTTATAAAAAGACGCGTAATCGATGGCCAATACATTTCTGGTAATCGTGCAAATAAGTTAAGAGCGGGCATTCTTATTTTATCGGTGAAAAAACCCCCATGTCTGTGTCGCGAGAGGTTAATTATAATCTTAACGATCCGCCGTGATCGATGCTC